AACAGGATGAGAGGTCTAGAGAAGGGCTTTTCATCTTCAAGAGACTAGGGAAGCGCCTGCAGGAAGTGGTCCAGAGGCCAGGCCCCGGTGTCCCCTCCCAGCCCCTAAGATAAAACCTCACTGCGACTGCAGAGGCTGCAGAGGCCCTGGCCCTGGAGTGGCTGGAGGAGGAGCTGGGGGGCAGATTAGCATGTGAAAGGAAGTGCTGGCCCAGCCAGAAAGCCGTGGCCTACCCCCAGCAGCTCCTAGCCTGGGGGACTTGAGCCCAGAGGTGTTCCTGGTAGGACCTTTTCCTACTGGCAAGGTGACCTCAGGCTCAGGTGGAGGAGGACAGCACCTGCCCTCCTGCCCACTCCCCTGGCCCATCCGGCTTCCTTTGTCCCACCCCAAACTCTCTGCTGCTCAAAGCCCAGCACGCTGCTGCCCAATCATGGTAAGTGACTTAACACCTTAATATAGAAACAGACCTGGATGCGCTCTGGGGATAGGTTATGGGTTATGTAATGCGACATGTGTGTTAATTTAAATACAGGCTCTGCCACCAAAGCATCACAGCCTACTGAAAGGGCAGCCTGTGAGGGGCAGAGACCTTGGTATGTTGTGGACAAGCAGGACAGACAGAGGTCGGGATTGTGCCCTCAAATGCTGGGGATGCCAGGTGGGTGGCAGATCACCATCTCCCAAGCAGCTGGAGTCCCTGCCCGCCCATCCTGCAGCTCCAGGTCCACGGAGGCCTGTCCAGAGGTAGCCAAGGACAGGCTGGCCAAGTCACAGCCTCAAGGATACGGGTGGAAACAGGCAAGATTCAAACTGGGTGGGGGGTGCGCTCCCCTGTGATCTGGGCCTTTCTTTTCCTACCTAAGCCGGTCCCTTGAGCCCGGCCACGTGGCCTCTAACTCAGTAACTGACATTTAGGTCTGTTGTTTCATTTTTTTCCATCACCAACAATGCAATACCCAGCGCTACTCATGCTTCCCTACGAACGATTGTTGGGAACATTCCTAGGAGTGGAATTGCTGGGTCCAAGGCTACAACCCACTTGACATTTTGACAGGCCACACGTTTAAAGCAGCTGGAGCAGGGCTGTCACCTTGACCTCCGTAGGGTAAAACATGGTCATTTTGCTCACTTTTCATGTTTAAAATTTTTTATTTTAGAGGAACTTGAGATTTGCAGACAAGCCGCACAGGTAGCAGAGAGAATCCTGTACCCTTCTCTGGCTTCCCACGTGGTAACGTCCTGTCAAAGCCTGGAAATTCACGTGGGCACCTGTCCGTCACCTAAACCCCAGACTCCATTCCAGCGTCCTCACTTTCCCCCAACATCCTTTCCTTCCCTAGGGCCCCATCCTGGATCCCACGTGGAATATAGTCCTCTGTCTCCTAAAACTTATGATGGCTCTTCAGACTCTCCTTGGTTTTCGCGACTTTGACTGTCTTGAGGGGGACCAGTCAGGTGTCCTGTGAAATGTCCTCTAATCTGGGTTTGTCAGTTTTCTCATGATTACACTGACATCACGGGGTTTGGGGAAGAAGTAACTCCTAGAGCTGAGGTGCCCTTCTCATCACGTCCTATCGGGGGTTCCTGCAACCCCCTTGACCCCCACCTTTGCCACCTGGGGAAGGTGGGGTCCCCAAGTTCCTCACAGTCAGTGACTCTCTTCCCCTTTCCCTGCCCTGTTCTGTGGAAGCAAGTCACTCAGTTCAGCCCACACTTGGTGCCAGTGGTGGAAGATTTATTTAAAAAATAAATTTTGAGCCCAGAGGGGGAAAAAAAAAATAGATTTTGGCCCAGCAAGGTTACTCACGCCTGTAATCCCAGCACTTGGGGAGGCTGAGGTGGGAGGATTTCTTGAGGCCAGGAGTTGGAGGCTGCAGTGAGCTATGATGACACCACCGCACTCCAGCCTGGGCAACAGAGTGAGATCCTGTCTATAACAAAAAATAAATAAAAATAAAACAAATTTTGCTATGGAAAAGTGCAAAAATGAAAAGGACAAATGGCCCATAACTACACTGCTTAGATACCTGTTGACATTTAAAGAAAAGTAGTAAATACACGTGGGTAAAAAACACTGGAATAGTACAGAAAGTACTATTAAAACTATTAAATAGTAAAGGCTTGACTGTCTTAAGCAACCACAGCCATGTCCTCTTACCAGGCCCTTGCTTCTGCCTGTCACCTGCCTTGGGGTGTCTGTGCTGTGGGTGCACTTGGCCTGTGGGACCTCTGCCCTTGACTGTGCCCGGGAAGTTGTGTGTACTTTGGCCTCCTCCGAGGCAGGCCCACGGTCCCTGGCACCTCTCAGAGTCCCTCCTCGTGTTCTTCCTGTCCTGCTGGAGACCCCTGGTGACACCTGGCTGCTGTGTGTCCACTGCCCACCTCTCCTCCGCGGGTGGCCCTTGAGCTTGCAGGACTGCTCTTCCGTGGGGCTGGCAAGATCCACCCCTGAAGCCCTTGGTGCTGCCTGGGAAGGGCAGAGACCACCCTCCATCTACAGGTGTGGAACTGAGGGCTGAAGAAAGAAGGGGTGAGTTAGGATCGGCCTGGATGTGAACCAGGGCTGCCTACCTGTGTCCCCCCAACCTCTGCTGCTCTCAGCTGTGAGCATGGGCAAGCTGCTCCTCTGTCCTCTCCTAGCCTTGATTTCTTCATCTGTAAAGTGGGGGTGACAGCCCCTTAAGTGGTACAGTGAAGACAGAGGAATAGCACATGGCAGAGCCAGTGCCCTGGCAGTGTGGTCAGAGTAGGGGTGGGATGGGCTGCACATATATCCTGGGTGTTCCTGGGGTTTGGGGGTGTGGGCCTGGAGAATCCCCAAATGGGGACTCCTGCCTGCAGAGCGGCTGGCATGGCCCGCAGGTGAAGGCCACAGGTGTGACACCCTGGTGGTCGCTGGAAGCGAGCAGATGGCTGAGGCTCAGAGAGAAGATCCTGTCTGGGGCCTCAAGGCCCAGGGGACAGGCAGCCGTGACCTCCCAGGGCTAACCTCTGCTGCTTGTCCCAGGCAGGGGCCTCAGGGCAGCGCTCTGGGGGCTCCTCATGCGTCCGTAGGATGTCACGGGCATCCTTCAGGCTCCCAGGTGGAGGTGAGTCCCGCCAGCCTGCCAGCTGCCTGACCTTGAGACTGTGCCCCCAGCCCCAGAGCAGGGCTGGTGAGTCCCTCTCTCTGGGCCCAGTAAAAATAATGGAAGAAAAATGAAGGATCTGGGCTGCTGTCTCAGACTGTTCCTTGCACAGGTGCCTGGGTGCTCTGCGCTAGGTGGCCAGGCCTGCCCAGGTGGTCCACTCTCTCAGACCTTCAAAGACACCCCACGTCCAGCAAGTATAGCGCCCACGGACTCCAGAGGGGCTTGGTGCCCAGGGTGGGAGAGAGGCTCGAGTCTGCCCAAGAGAGCCCGCACCCTCCCCGGTGTGCTAGGCTTAGGGTTAGGGTCTCCCCTCCCACCTCTGCGCAGCGCGCTCAGGGGCGTACTGGGCACTGCCGGATCCTTCGAGGGCTCAGCCGCCGCCTCCAGAGGGAGACAGGCCTCTGCCAAGTATGGTCCGGCCCAGGGACAGCGGTCGGCCTGAGGGCACACTGGCCAGACGGACCCGGTCCGTTAGCGGGGCTTCAGGTGGGGGGAGGCGGCCAAACTTCGGGCCAAGCCCAGGGCGACGGCTCCAGTCTGTGCAGCCGGGTCACCGCAGGCCGAAGCAGCCCCGCCCCCTGGAGGCCGGTCGGGCCACTGTGCTGCCGCCACCGCCCCGCCGGCACCGGGAAGGGCGGGAGCGTGGAGGCCACAGAGTGGGCCGCCCCGGGCCTGCGGGTGTGGGGGACCCGGGCCATTTGGGTTCTGGCCGCTATTTAACAACTTGGCCTGGGCGTCCTCAGCGGCTTCGAGTGGCCCCACTACCTGGCCTCAGTTTTCCTGTCCGAACCCCAAGCAAAGGTCGACGCCTGGGGCCAAGAAGCGACGCTACTGACTCGGGTGCCCCAGCAGGGTGGGGACCTCTGCCTTGTTGACGTGCCCCAGCCCGGCCCTTGCTTTGCGTCCAGGTCTTCCCTCGTGCTCCCTACCCGACTCTTCTCCGTAGACCCCAGCCCTCCCTGCCCCCAGTGGGGCGCGCACGAGTAACTCCGGAACCCGGTGCAAAAAGAGGAACGAACGCAGGCTCGGTCGGCCAGGCCGCCCCACCCTCCCGGGGACCGCCGCTGGACACCCGCCGCCCGGACCAAGGAGGCGCCGTGGGCTCGGAGGGCGGCGAGGGGGACCCCAGAACAGGAGTGAGGGGACCTCGGACAGAGCGGTCCCAGCAGGGCCCCAGCTGCGGAAGAGGAGGGGGGGAAGGGTCGTGCACGTGGCCTAGGGGCGGGGCCGGGCGCTTCCGCACCCCCACCCCGGCCACGTGGGGATCCGAGCCCTCCCCCCATCGCGCTCGGGGGCGCGCCCGGGGCCGGGTGGAAGCCTCCGAGGAGGGGACAGGCTCCCGCCGGCCGCGCGCCCCAGCGTAGGGTGGGCACGCCAGGAGGAGGCGGGGCGTGCCGGGATGGGGCGGGGCGCGCGCCAGGGAGAGGGGGCGTGCCGGAGAGGGGGCGGGGCTCCTCGGCCTCCCGCCGCGGCGAGGGAGGGCGCTCCGGGAAAGGGACGGGGGCGCGCCTTGGTTGGGGGGCGCGCCGGGCGGTGGCGGGCTCTCCAGCCTCGCGCCCCAGCGTTGGAGGGGCGCTCACTGGGCCGGAGCCGCGGCAGGCTCTTTGGGGCGAGAGTGGGCGCGCCGAGGGGCGGGCTCCTCCGGCCCGAACCCCGCCTCCGGAGGCCGCGCGCCGCTCGGAGGGTTGCGGAGGGCGCGCCGGGTGGGGGGCGTGGCTGCGGCGCCCCGAGGGGGCGTCCTCCGGGCGGGGCGGGCTGTGGCCGCCCCCGCGGGCTCCGGTGCGTCAGGGCGCGTCAGGCGGGGCGGGGCGGGCAAGCGCGGGCGGCGGCGCGGCGCGCGCGGGGCCCTCCTCCTCCTCCTCCCGCACTCGAGCAGCCGCCGCCGGCCGGACGGGCGCCACTCCCGCCGCCTCCGCTCCGCCCGGTCTGCCTGCGCCGCGCACCCGTGCCCGGCATGTCGGCGGCCGTGGCGTGCGTGGATTACTTCGCCGCCGACGTCCTCATGGCCATCTCCTCGGGCGCGGTGGTGCACCGCGGCGGCCGGCCGGAGGCGCGGCCCGCCGCCGCTCTGGATGTGCGCGCGGCGCGCCGGAGCCGCCTCGCCAGGCACGGGGCCACGGCGCCCCGCCCCTGCGCCCCCCGGCCCGGCCCGCGGCGCCGCCGCGCCCCACCTGCTGGCCGCCAGCATCCTGGCCGACCTGCGCGGCGGGCCCGGAGCCGCCCCGGGGGGCGCCTCGCCTGCCTCCTCTTCCTCGGCCGCCTCTTCCCCGACCTCAGGCCGCGCCCCCGGCGCCGCGCCCTCCGCCGCCGCCAAGAGCCACCGCTGTCCCTTCCCTGGCTGCGCCAAAGCCTACTACAAGTCCTCGCACCTAAAGTCGCACCTGCGGACGCACACAGGTGAGCGCAGCCGCGATCGCGGACCGTGCGGGGGCGGCCTCCTGAGCCCCCTCCCCCGTCGGGACCCCGAAACTGCGTGGCGCGTGGGGGGCGGGGAGGGGGGCGCGCCGGGCCGCCGCCGCGCCGGCCGGCAGGGCGGGGCCTGGGTGGGTGGGGCGCGTGCGGGGGGCGTGGCGGCCACGCGGTCTGGCGGCGAACGGATGGCGGCCGCGGCGGGCGGCGGAGGCAGGGGCTCCCGGGACGAGCGGGGCGAGCGGCGCAGCAGGGCTCCCGGGGGGGATCGTGACGCTCGGGCAGACTATCTCTCCCCCCGCCTTGCCTCGTGTTTCTTTTCCTTTTGCTTTCTTTTCTGAGCTGGGTGGTGGGCGCTGAGGTTTGGGGGCATTCGGCTGCGAGGTTCTGCTCGGCCCCCTCTTCCAGCCTCAGTTTCCTTATATGTGAAAATGGAGGAGCAGCCGTGTCGCCGCGCCTGGGGTGGCCGCGCGCATTCTCCCCGGAGGTCGGCGGAGCACCTGGCACGGGGCCAGGGTGTGTGGGGTGCCCAGCACGTTTCTTTCCGTTCTCTGTATGTTAACGAGGTGGAGGGTGGGGCTGAGAGTGCGGGTTGGGGCCTGAGTCTGGGGAGGGGCGGATCGGATAGGGGGACCCCGGAGGGAGTCAGGTCCTTACCACGTTTCCCCAGCGTGTTTGGGCGCTGGGTTGGAGTCCGGCGTGATCCAGCTACGTAGCGCCCCTCCCAGCCCAGCCCCGGGGGCTGTTAGAGGAACAGGTAGTCAGGTGGGCACTGATTATCTTTTCATTTTGCGCACACCCCCGTCCCCCTCCACCCTAGTCCTTCCTTTGGGTTCCACTGTCTGTACTGGGAGTTTGGACTGGGGGACAGGAGGTCGGTCTCATAGGCCGCTTGGGTTTGAGCTGGGAAGCGAAGGTGGAGGGGGTCTGGGGACAGACCGTGGGGGCCGCATTTGGATTTGGCATCCTGACTTTATCGCCATGTAACAGATGACCTACTCCCTCTCGGTTTTCGGTTTTCTCCCTCAGGTCTCGGTTTTCTCTTCTCTATAATGGGTGCAACGATGCCTTCGTTTTAGGGTCATAGTGAGTTGCATTGGAGAACCTGGCACTCCGAGGGGACTTGGTCCATGGGCTGCCTTTGTGGAAACACGTGGAGTGAGCCCAGGAAAGCCGGGTGGGCCAGAATGGGGTGTCAGAGATGGAGCAGGCAGCCTCCCAGGGTCTGTCTTGGGGTGTGGGGAGGGGAGGGCACTGGCAGCACCCCCTCCTGTTTTCTGTTCTTCCCACCTCTAGCTCAGTAGCTGGCCTTATGCCCACGGCCCTGGAGGCCACCTGGGGGCACAGGTTGGAGTCCAGGGTGCAGGACAGGGCTTGGGGTGGGGTCTGTGTTTCACCGTTGTGTTGTGTGATCTCTGGGCAGAATCTCTTTAAGGCAAAGGGAGGTTCCTGTATCTCTGTGTGTCCCTGATGATGGCAAGGAGGTTTGGGGGCAGACGGGAGGGAGGTGCCCCTTTGGGCAGTGGGCTGGGGTCCAGGAGTACCCTGTTCGTGCTGGGTGAGTTTGCAGGTCTGACTGGTGAGGGGCTGGCGTGGAGGCCTGTTGAGAGAAGGACCTCCACCTGTCCACCCCCAGTTCTCGTTCCTTTGCTGGGTGACATGGCCATGAGAGCATTTTCGGTCCCAGCATTCTGGTCTGGTCTGGTTTGGTGGTTTTTTTAGACCTTTAACTTCCAAGGTTGGGAGAAGGGGGCGGACAGGCCACCTCCTACCTAGGTGCCAAGGGACGCTTCCATGGGCCCCCAGGAAATGGCAGCAGCTGTCCCTCAGCCAGCAGGGAGAGGAGAGATCTCTGTCACCTGGAGGTCATGAGAAGCTGAGGCCTGGGAGGCCATGTCAGGGCATCCCAGGGTGGGTGCAGATGTCCTGGCTCGGCATCAGTGTCTGCCCTGTGTGCCGGGGGTGGGTCCTGTGCCCTTCCACCCCCACCCTGTGTGAGGCTGTGGCTGTCCTGCCCCAAAGCCCGATTTATAACAGTGACACGAGGACTGGGATGGCGGCCCTGGATCCAGATACCTTTGAGCTAGATTCCAAAGGGTTTTGGACACTTGCGAGCGGAATGGCTGAGGAGCATTCAGAGTCTCCCCAGGACCACCTAGGGGAGTGTGAAAAAGGCCTGTTGTAGTGGAAGATTCTTGGGTTTTCCAGGCCCCAGTGGAGGGAGTGGGTTTAGGGGCAGGAAGGCCGTGCTTGTGGGGGTGGGTCCGAAGGCTGGTGTGGTGGTGCCCCGCTGCAGAGTTGGCTCCGGGTGCAGGCTGAGGACAGATCTTTGAGGAGCCACAGTTCATTGTGAGCCACTGCAGCCTGAGAAAGAGTCCTGCCCCCCGCCCACCCCACCCCCCTGCCTGGGCATCCTCCTCCTCCTCCTCCTCCTCCTCCTCCTCCTCCTCTTCGCAAAGGGAACAACAGTCCTAGCCAAGCCCCATTTTACAGATGAGCAAACCGAGGCAGGAGCAGGTGCCCTGCTGAAGGACAGCTTGGTACTCCTGTTTTCTCTGCTCCATTTGTCCCTCATCCCTGGGGTGGGGGGAGGCGAGGCAGCCAGGAGAGGGGATGGGGTTCTACTGCCCCCTGCACCTCACATCCCCTAGGTCTGGCCTGTAGCCCCCAGCCCAGCCGGCGGTGCTCTCCTGCTTGGGGCGGGGAAGGACTTTGGAAGCTGTGGGAGATGTTGACGCCGTTGCTATGGTTACCGAGAGTGAGCGAGCCAGCGTTGGGGCGGGGGCGGGCGCAGAGGCTGGCTGTCTGCTCCTTGCTCTCCAAGCCTCCTCCATCCCTGATGGGCCCCCCATCCCTAGAGTCCCCGGTGCCCAGCACACACTCAGCTGTGTGCGCCCTGTGGGGTTGCTGACCCCCTCTCCCAGAGTGGGAGCTCAGGCTGGGAAGGGGGCTTCTAATAATCTTGAATCTGCCCCCCCCCACGTTGGCACTGCTGAGACATCATCTTAGGCCAGATCGTTCTCTGGGGAGGGGCCATCCTGGGTGCTGCAAGGTGCCGTGCAGTGTCCTTGGCCTCCACCCACCCCATGCCAGGAGCTGCCCCTACTTGTGACAGACACAGATGTCCCCAGACATGGCCCAGGTCCTCTGGCGGGCTGCAGGATCAGCCCCAGTTGTAACTCAGTGTTTGACTCTAAAATCCAGTTCACTGAAGTCCGGGCAGATCAGTGAGCACCTGCCTTGGGCCAGGGCTGTGCAGGGCAGTGTCAGGGCGCACCCAGCCTCTGCTCCCCAGGACTTGGACATATGTGTGTGTTGAGTGATGTCTGCAGAGATGATGGCATAGGAGGGAAGTGGACAGGCTGGGCGGGGCAGGGAACAGGATAGCTCCAGGAGGGAACGTGCTGGCATGGATTTTGGGGTGGGGAGGGGGCCTGCACAAGGTGAAGGGCTATACTTAATCCCAAGGGTGGGGGCGGGGGTTTGGGAGGCAGGCTTGGCTTTGCAGAGGAAAATCCGTTTATGGAGAAGGGATTAGGATTGGAGAGGGGTTGAGGGCGGGGCAGGGTCTGGGAGGCAGAGGGGTGGGCCCAGCCACAAATTGGGTGGGCGGGAGAGAACTGAGGGTGACTCCCAGTTTTCTGATCTGGCAGCCCGAGGTGTGGGGGGTCAGGACGGATGATGGTCATGGTACTCTTTGCTGGGGAGGGAGAGGCCAGTGGGGAAACTGAGGCCCAGAGGGTGGAGGCAGCCATGCCCCACCCTTGTTCTTTCCCACCACACACTCAGTCAAGCATTGTCACCTCTGCCCCCAGTCAGAGCTGGGAGCTCCCTTAGGGTCAGGGTGGCATGGTTGGTGGGCTGAAAACTCAGGACTCTGCAGTTTATGGGGGGGGCAGGGACTGCCCAACCCCCTCCTCTGGCCCGCAGGGTGCAGAGAGCAGCTGGAACTGACTGCAGATGTCCCGGCTGGAGGGATAGGGAGGGCTTCCCCAATGTTGTGGGGGCGATAAACACCCTCACCCAGGCTCCCTGATAAAGGTGGCCCAGATGGGCCGGGAGTTGGCGAGTGATACCGGCCAGAGGAGCCCCCCACCCGTCCCCCAGGGAGAGCTGGCAGGCCTGGGTGGGCCACCCTGGCCCCAGGCTGTTTCACATGCTCACTATTGGGGGGCCTTGTGGGAGCTGTGCCCCCTTTTGTGCCCCCCTTATCCCCCAGGCACTGACAGCCCTATGTGGAAGGTGCCAGTCTGGGTGGGGACATGGGCCAGGCAGCCTGGTGGGTGCTGGGTAAATGACGTGCCCCACAAACATCATCTGCCGGGTCTCTTGCTGGAAGCCAGGGCTTGGTTCTCTAGGCATGTAAGTTCTCTCTTCCCACAGATGTGCAGTAAGCGCCTACTGCATGCCAGGCTGGTGCTGGGCTTGCATCTCCCAGTCCCGTGGGGTGGGGGGCTGTGTGCAGACATTAAATCACACAAGATGCAAGCATTTCGGAAACCTGGTGCAAGGATAGACGAACTGAGAAAGGGGATGGAGAGTGGGGGGCCCTAGGGAGGCAGGGGAGGGAGACCACTCTGCGGGTGAGGCTGAGGAGAGACAGGCCAGGTAGCAGGGCCTGGAGCCCCAGCCCAGCCAAAGGCTTCAGCATTGACCCTAAGCCAGGTGGGAGCTGCTGGGCTACTGCACTAGTCCAGGCATGATGCAGGAGGAGCCAGGCTGGGGTCTAGACTATAAAGGTAATGGGATTTGCTGGCAGGGGAGAGAGGTGATAAACCTGCCTAGGTAAGTGTCCTAAGTGTCCTGCAGGAACAGCCAGGTGGTTGGAAAGCAGCCTGCCCACAGAGGAGTGGGGTTGGGAGAGGTGAGATGTCGAGGCTGCAGTGGGTGTGGGGGTGGCCAGCATCCAGATGGTATTCAAGACCCCAGAGTGGATAACGCCCCCAGTCCCCAGGCTGGCCTTAGTGAAGTTATCTGCTCACCATGCGCTAGGACCTCACCACTAATGTTCCATCTTTGTCACTGCTGTGGCCCCTAGAGTCTTCTTAAGGCTTTGTGGGACCTGCTGAGGGGTCACTTCCTTCAGGAAGCCCCCTGCCTGGCCCCGGGTGGGCTAGAGGCCCTGCCGCTAGCCTTTCCCAGCTCTCCTGGGGGCAAGTCTTCCTTACTCTGCTGCTCCCCCCACGGAGTCTGCCCCGCCTAGGCGAACCTCTGTGCTAGGACAGGTGGCTGGCCACACGTCCCTCCCCACGCAACTCCCTGGACCACCCCAGGAGGTGAAGCTTCCCTCTCAGACCCAAGGCCCTTTGTCCCTGCCCTGCCCTTGGCCTCTTGGAGCCTAGCTGGTTGAGGGTTGAGGCCTGAGGCCGGGCACCTGGCACATAGGCCCTCCCCTGCCGGCTCGGGGGCTGGGCCAGGTGTCCAAGACTTCTTGGCCTCCATTTTTCTGAGCTTGCACCGCAGGGAGGTGCCTGGCTGTCCCAAAGTCACCTGCGCCCTGCCCACATTGCCCTCCCTGCGTGGTCCCCACCCGCTGCACCCTCCTCCCGGTGCCGCGGTCCAGCCAGGTAGGCTGGAGCAGCCGGGTGGCTGCGCCTGAGGTCCCCCCACTCCCTGCTAGAGGATCGTCTGAGAGGGTAGCAGGACCTGGCATCTTGCAGGCGTTTGCCCAGTAATGCGGGGGCGGGCAGCCAGCGCTCCCCTGCACCGCCGCGCACGTGCGCAGGGGAGCGGGAAGCGCAGGGCGGGGCTGGCAGGCGCCCAGGCAGGCGAGGCGACCCTGGCCCGGGCCCCTGGCCCCGGCGGGAGCGGCACCACGTGAGCGGGGCGGGCTGGGGCTGTGGAGGTCCCCGCCGCCGCGCTACGGCTACGTGCGGCAGCTGTGTTCCCAGCGGCTGCACGCGTCCTGACCCACTCGCCCCTCTTGCAACCTGCTCTTTGCAAAGTGGAACGGAGTGGGGGGGCGGAGGGGAGGGTGGGAGGTGGGGGCCAGCCCCCTAAAAGGAGAAGTGAGCCAGCTGCTGGGCAGAGCTGCAGCGGGATGTCCCCCTTCTGCCTCCACCCCGCCTGCGCCCTGCAAGATGGCGACTGGACTGCAGGCCCCCCTCTGAGGGGTGTCGCTCCCCTATCTCGGGGTCTGCTCCAGAGCCAACAGCCCCGCCCCCTTAACAGACTCCCGGTTTCCCCAGGCTGAGGTCCTTGGGAGCTGTCAGATCCCAGGGGTCTGGGTGGGGGTCGACGTCTCTTCCAGGGCTGTTTTGAGCCTCTCAGTTCTGTCCCCGGGAGGCCCCTCTGCCAGGTACTGCAGAGCCTGCCTTCTGGATTGTTGGGGGAGACTTGGGGCGTGGAGGGGGCAGCCACAGGGATTTGGGACTGCTGCTGGTCTTGGGGACAGTGGCTGTGGAGTCACCTGGGTTCACAGCCTCCTGCATCGTCTGCAGGCTTCCTAGGAGAAACCTCCTTGGGGGGCCTTACTGGGCTGTGACGCCCATCTTCTGTCTTACAGGGGTTGTCAGGTTGTGGCAGGCAGGAACGATGGGGTTGGGGGAGGGGAGGTTTTCTCCTGGTTCCTTCCTGAGCCCTGTGTGGTGGCAGGTGCCCCTTAGCAGCCTGACCCTTCCCACTTCCCCTCCCTCTCCAGAACCCCTCTCTCCCCAGGGCAGCCCTTGAGATCAGAGATGTCACCAGGTCACCCTGGTGGCTGTAGGTCTGCCCTGTGGGCTCTCCCGCTGGCTTCTTCCACACTGCCCCACCATGGGTCCTCCTTGGGGGCCCTTCTAGGCCCCTCCCCCCAGCACCCACTGCTCATCTGTAGTTGTCAACCTGAATCCTTCAGCCATCACTCCCTACACGTGAGCGTGGTCCCCGGCGGTGCAGCCCCCAGTGTTGGGTAAGGACCCCCACCCCAGCGTGCAACCCATGAGGTGACCGCGCTCCTGGCCACCCTGTCCCCGCTGTGGCACCTCTGAAGCTAGGGCTCAGGGGCTCCATTCGGTGCCACTAGGGGCTTTGCAGACCCTTGTGGGTACCCTTGTAGCTCGCGTGTCTAAACTCTACTTTTACCACCACCCTTCAAAACCCTTGAGTGTGGCCTGGCAGGGAGGGTCAGAGCTGGTCTAAAGCACGGCAGGGGCGGGGGGGGGGCGCTTAAGTGGACTGACCTGCCCCTCCCCAGTCCTTGAAGACCCTTGTCTGCTGGAGAGACACTGACAACACGGTTGTCCCGCGCTAAGGGCGTGAGGCCGGGTAAAATGGGGTGGGGGGTCGGGCAGCACTGTTCTGGAGCAAATACGCGATACAGGGTGGGAAGGGGACAGGCAGGCTGGGCTGGCGACGGCTGCTGGGGGCAGGATGGGCGAGGCCCAGCCGGGACGGTGGGAGCGGTCTGTGGAGGAAGTGGCTGGGTGGTGGCCCGCCCCTGCCCTGCGCCATCTGTTCCTCGGGGGCGGGGCGAGTGCAGCCGTCTGCGGCCTCCTGGCCCCGCCCCCTCCAGCGAGGCCCCGCCCCCTCCAGCGAGGCCCCGCCCCCGTGCTCTGACCCTTGGTGACCCTCCCGGCAGCGGGTCCTGCCCTAGCCTTCCCCGCTCTAGAGCGCCAGCCCCGGCCTACAGGTAACTCGGGGCCAGAGCGAGGTGCCCCATCCTTACTGGCTATGGGTGGCCTCAGGGTGTGGTGGGGTCCTCACCTGCCCCTCTTCTCACAGGCAGGCCCCCAGGGTCCGTGGATGGTCCAGCAGGGGAAACTGCCAAGACGGTGCCTGCCCACCCTGGCTTTGTGCCCCAGAAGGGCATTTGAAAATGTAGGGGGTTGGGTGGGCTCGTGAACACCTGGGAAGCTTCTGAATGCCCCACAGGAGGAGTGAGTGGGCAGGGTGCGTGGGGACAGTGTGACCCATTTGCACATGGAGCAGCTGTACCAAAAACCACACGTTCTGAGCATGCATGTGCGTGGAAAATAACGTGGGAGACATTGCCTAGCCCCCGCCTGGGTCCCATCTTGGGTGGGTGAGGAACGTCAGTGTCAGGTGTCTGCGGGATTTACTTAATAGCAAACAGAAACCGCTGGCAGGAGTGTCCTTTCTTACAGTTGGGAGGAAATAAGGGGAGAATTACCCGAGCAGTCGGGATCTGCTGGGATGTCTCTGCTTCCTGCCCACCAATGACCGCCACCTGTCCTCTGCTCCTCTGTCCAGGTGAACGTCCTTTTGCCTGTGACTGGCCAGGCTGTGACAAGAAGTTTGCGAGATCTGATGAGCTGGCCCGTCACCACCGGACGCACACGGGCGAGAAGCGCTTTCCCTGTCCTCTGTGCTCCAAGCGATTCACCCGCAGCGACCACCTAACCAAGCATGCCCGCCGCCACCCCGGCTTCCGCCCGGAACTGCTCCGGCGTCCGGGCGCCCGCAGCACCTCGCCCAGCGACTCGCTGCCCTGCAGCCTGGCTGGCAGCCCCACGCCCAGCCCCGTGCCCAGCCCGGCCCCCGCCGGCCTGTAGGGCCCTGTCCAGCCCGCCCTGAGCACGCCCCCTGCCAGGCCTTGGCGTGGACCACCAGCAACTTGAGGACGTTCCCACCAGCTAGGGCCCGTGGCAGGGACTAATGGGGAGCCCTGGCCCCTTCCAGCTGTGGTGGACCCTGAAGATGCCCCTGTCCACCTCAAGAAAGCAATGAAGGGGCTGCAGAGGTGGCCCTCAGGACGGGTGACTGGGGCCTGTGTCTGTAAATAGCCATGATTACTAACTTTCTTCCCATCTGAGCAACGAGGTCTGCTGGAAGAGAAGGATGCCAGGGGCCCTCCCCTTCCCCACCCCCCTGTGTTCCCCTAGGGGTGGGGTTTGAGGGCTGGAGCGGTGCAGAGAAGGTGCCCCTACCCAGGGCTTGGACTCCACCCCCAGGCTGTTCCCTTCTAGTTGGGATGAAATGTGCAGAGCCATAGATGAACCAGGGGTCCCCATGGGCCCCGCCTCTTCCCCCACCGAAAGCCATTGGAGAAGTTCAGGGAAACGGGGGGTGCAGCTCGGCCACCTCCCACTCGGGTATTCAATCTCAGGTGTCCACAGGTTCTGCCCACGGGAGGGGCCTCCCAGCACCCCAGGCCTCAAGGGTATGGCCAGGAGGGGGGAGGCATCGGGGTGTCCAGAGGGCCCAGGTCTTCTGAGACTTAGGGGAGGGAGGGAACAGGGAGAAGGGTTCTTCCAAAGAGATTTTCACTATGGGGCAGGGGTGGGGGTCCCCAGCCAGTGCTGTCCGGCTTATTTATTGTCCTGTCTGCTGGTATTGGGGGGACCTTTCTCCCCCTCTCTGGGTGGGTGGGTGTGTGAGAGAGACTCCAGGCTGGGCGTGGTGGCTCACGCCTGTAATCCTAGCACTCTGGGAGGCCGAGGTGGGCGGATCGTTTGAGCTCAGGAGTTCAAGACCAGCCTGAGCAGGAGCAAGACCCCATCTCTACTTAAAAAAAAATAGAAATTAATTGGCCAACTGAAAAATATAAAAAAAAAAAAAAAAAAAAGAGAGAGACTCTGGGGGAGACTGGTGCCGTGGGATCCCTCCCTGCCCCTGCGTGGGTGGGGTCCCTGACTTGACAATCAATCTCTGGTTTGGGTGCCACATGCTCCCTGCCCCGGCCTGCAGGTAGGGCTGTTGAGACAGGGCCAAGAGAGGTGGCTGGGGGATTGTGCTCCCTGGGGCCTAGGGCCTTTCCTTCTTGCAAGTCCCTTCCTTGTCCTGGGTGCCTGGAAGAGGTGGTCCCTGGACCAGGGTTGAGGTCCTGCCTCATGGACTGGAAGCCAGAGGCCTGGTTACCCAGCCTCTTGGCAGAGCTCGTTTTTTTGGACCGGGTAGAATATTTTTTCAGGCACGGATTCCTTTCTTCTGGGCCCTGGTGGGTGGGCCATCGTCCTCAGGGGGTGTGAGTGTGGGGGAGGGTGGGGAGTTGTCTCTTAAGGGTGACATGCCCTGTTCTCCCAGGTGTCTTTCTGCTGTGGCGTGGGTTGCATTTCCTTTTGGACTGGGTACTCGGGACCCCACCCTCCAGTGGGAAGGGGGGACCCAGGCTCCTTGCCTAAGACCTGGGAAGGACCTATCCACCAATTGTTGGCTGCAGGTGATTTCTGGCACCCCCTCTTTGTTCCAGAATCTTCCTCTCTCCCTATTGGATGGGTGGCACCTGGGCTCAGCCCCTGCCTGGCAGGACCCAGGGGTGGGGGATCCCCCAGGGCCTGGGGAAGGAAAGCAGGGCTGGCCCTTCTGGAGCTGGGCTCGGAGGGTCTGCCCCGGTCAGCCTTGGGCCTTCGGCCTCCTGGGGCGTTCTGCAGGGCCACACCACCTGTGCCCTCGGACTCCTCTCTCTGGCAGCAAGGTTAGTGAGATGCCTTAGTCTAGGGGTGGGTGGGGGGCTGGGGCCCCGTTTTCTTTGGTCTTCCTCTGGATGTGTCTCTGGCCCCAGACCTGGCAGGTGCCTGCCTAGGGGTAGGTTGGGCTGCAGGCTCCAGAACTCCTGAAGAGACCTGCGCCCCCTCCTCTGCCCAGGAACTGGTGGTGCCTGGGGCCTGCTTCCAGCCCTTGGACAGGGGAGGAGGGCCCCGTGGGACTTGTGCTTTATGTGGGTGGCGCCCCTCCCCCGCCCTGCCTGGCCTCATCCTTGTATTTAATTAATTAAACGAGCCCTTTTTAAAACCTTCCACCCTGTCAGTGTGGTTTTTCCCATCGCGGGCCCCCGGCTAGTGGGCCCTGAGTCCCTCCATCCCACCCACCGGTATAGCCCCCAAGGTCATCAAACAACTCCTGGGGAAACTGAGGCAGAGGACTAGTGAATCTAGTGCTCCTGCCAGGCCTAAGGCCCCTGGAGGGGCTGCCTGAAGCAGCGCGCGCTGCGCCCCGGTGGCGCCCACGCCTGGCTTGGCTGCGCCCCCAACCCAGTTTCCCGCCCGGTTACCTGGCAACCGAGGCGCGGTGACACGGCGCCTGCCTGGGGGCGGCCCCTTCAGGCGTCGCGGGGGTTGGGGGAGCCCGCGCCCCTGGGGGTGCTCGCAGGCAACACACGCTCCTCCCGCAGGGCCCGCCGGCCGCCCACCCCCCCATCCGTCCCGCCAGTCGTGCCCCGCCAGGCTCCTGTGCCCACCCAGTGGTGGGGCATTCGTGTATTGAGCACCTACTGTATGCCAGCTCCCACCCGCGTGGGAATTGGGAGGTAGGGGCTAGTGCTGGAGGGGAAAGGGGCTCCTTGGAGAGGGAGTTTAGCGTTTCTGGAGCATTGGGAAGCTGGTGACAGCTCTGAACCTCTAGCTAGAAAACAGATTCCAGCGGGATCCGGAGCCCGAAGGCGGCGGGAGCAGGGGCGGGGCCAGACCCTTCCCGCGCACCTGCTATCTCCTGGGTCCCACTGCAGGGAAGCCGGTGTCCCGTCCCCCGGTGGCAGCCCCTAGTATCGAGCAGCTGGCGTCCGCTAACGCCCTGTCCCTCCCCTCTGCAGCTCCTGCCCGCTTTTCTGCCCCTTTGGGGTAAAATTACTAGAATGTGGAGTCTACACCTGCAGCCTCGTCCCTTCAATCTCTTTCACACACACACATCAGATTTTAATTCCCTGTACGTGCAACAGAAACAGCCTCTTGCAGCCTCTGGGACCCCTCACCCACCCCAGGCTGTCCCATCACTGGTCTCCTCACCTCCTGCCATGATGGCATCTGCCTCTTTCCAGGTGTGCGGGCCAAATTCCTTGGGGTCATCCTGAACTCCCCTCCTTGTCTTGCCACCCTCATTCAGTCCATCTGAAAATCTCCCTGGGCTCAACCTTCAAAATATATCCAGAGTCCGGCCACCTCTCCCCACTTCAAGGGTTTCCACCTGGCCCAGCCCTAGCATCCTCCCTGTGGACCAGCCATTCCCCTCCGTCCTGGTCCCCAGCTCCTTGCTCACCCCCCACAGCCTGTCCTCCCCACAGCAGCCACCAGAGGACACCTGTGAGCACCTGAGTCACAGCCTGTCCCTTCTTTGCCCACAGCCCTTCATGACTCCCACCTCGTAGTGGTCAAAAGCCCCAGTCCTGCCTGAGGCCCACCGGGCCCTGCATGAACCATCCTGTCCCCTCTCTGTCCTCCCCTTCCCCCTCTTTCCCCTTTGCTTACTCTGCTCCAGCCACATGGGCCTCCTTGCTGTGCCTCCAACAGGCCAGGTATGGTCTTGCCCCAGGGTCTTTGCACAGACTGTGCCCCCTGCCTGGGATGCTATTCTCCAAAATATTGCTTGACTCTCTCTTTATCTTCTTAAAAACTGTTCAAATCCTACCTCTCCATGGGACCACCCACACTGGCCCTCCCCCCAGCCAAACCTCTCTCCTGTCTCCTTTCCTATGGCACTTGGTGCCTTGCTTCATGCATGCTACCTCATTTATTTATTCCCATTTTCATTGTCCGCCTTCCTGACTACGACACCACCTCCACCAGGGTGGGTATCATTGCTTTGCTCCCTGATGTTTCTAGCACTGGCTGCCACACATACTAGGTGCTCAGTAAATATTGGCTGAATGAATAACCAAGACCAGCTCACATGGATGGAGCAATCCCATAAATAGTATTAGTATTTCATTTCACAAGCATCGTCAGGAGCCAGGCCAAGAAGTCTACCGCTCTGTTGCTGGTGAGGGAAAGGCTTTGAGACATGGTCACATCCTCTGAAGAGTCATCGCTGACCCAGCCCAACCACGTGCCTCCTATCACTGCACCCTGTCACTTACTTATATATAATTGTTGTAAAAAAAAAAAAACAAACCTGCACATAATGTAAAATTTATCATCTTAACCATTTTCTTTTCTGTTTTTGAGACAGAGTCTTGATCTGTCACCGAGGCTGGAGTGCAGTGGCATCGTCATAGCTCACTGCAGCCTCCAGCTCCTGGGCTAACATGATCTTCCTGCCTCAGCCTCCTGAGTAGCTGGGACTACAGGTGCCACCATGCCCAACTAATTTTTTTTTTTTTTGAGACAGAGTTTCACTCTGTTTCCCAGGCTAGAGTGTTGCGGCGTCAGCCTAGCTCACAGCAACCTCAAACTCCTGGGCTCAAGCGATCCTGCTGCCTCAGTCTCCCTAGTAGCTGGGACTACAGGCATGCGCCGCCATACCCGGCTAATTTTTTTCTATATATATTAGTTGGCCAATTAATTTCTCTCTATTTATAGTAGAGACGGGGTCTCGCTCTTGCTCAGGTTGGTTTCAAACTCCTGAACTCAAATGATCTACCCGCCTTGGCCTCCCAGAGAGCTAGGATTACACCAACTAATTTAAAAAAAGTTTTTTGGGGGGGCCGGGCGTAGTGGCTCACGCCTGTAATCCTAGCACTCTGGGAGGCTGAGGCGGGAGGATTGCTTGAGGTCAGGAGTTCGAAACCAGCTTGAGCGAGACCCTGTCTCTAATAAAAATAGAAAGAAATTAATTACCAACTAAAAATATATATACGAAAACAATTAGAGCCGGCATGGTGGCGCATGCCGGTAGCCCCAGCTATCTCGGAGGCTGAGGCAGCAGGATTGCTTGACCCCAGGAGATTGAGGTTGCTGTGAGCTAGGCTGACGCCACGGCACTCACTCCAGCCTGGGCAGCAAAGTAAGACTCTGTCTCAAAAAAAAAATTTTTTTTTTTTGTACAGATGAGGTTTTGCTGTGTTGCCCAGGCTTGTCTTGAACTCTTGGTGTCAAGTGATCCTGCCACTTTTATCCTCCCAAAGCACTGGAATTACAGGCATGAGCCACCATTTAACCATTTTTAAATGCACAGTTCAGTGGCATTAAACACACTCACATTGTTGTGCAGCCGTCACCACCCTCCATCTCCAGAACTTTCTCATCTTCCCAAATTGACACTGAGTGTTTCTCCATGAAACACTCACTCCCCACCCCTCCCCAGCCCCTGGCACTCACCAACCTACTTCCTGTCTCTGTGGATCTGACGACTCCAGGGACCTCCTGTGAGTGGAATCGCACAGGATTTGTCCTTCCGGCATCTCTCACTGAGCACGATGTCCTCAAGGTCCATCCACACTGTGGCTTGTGTCAGAGCCCCGTCCCTTTTCATGGCTGAGTGATGCTCCACTGGATGTATGAACCACACTGTGTTTATCCATTCATCCACCCACAGACACTGGGTTGCTTCCACTTTGGAGCCTTTGTGAATGATGCTGCTGTGAATGTGAGTGTGCAGATATCTCTCTGAGACCTTGCTGTCAGCTGTTTTGGGCACATACCCCGTACCCCGCAGTGGAATTGCTGGATCACATGGTAATTACATTTAACTTCTTGAAGAACCGTTATACTGTTTTTCCATAGTAGTTGCACCATTAAAATCCCACCCAAATACCTCAGGTTGTTTTTTTTTGTTTTGTTTTGTT